CAATATACAATATGATGCTCTCATGCATGTTGTCCAACAATAGCCTGATATAAGTGTTCTGAACATGTTTAAGGCAGGCTAGGTTGGGTATGATGTCATTAAACAAATTAAGTGCATTTTAAACAATGATATTTTCAGTTTACCATGGATGTATCAGAATATAATCCCATTGCAATTTGAGGATCATCTATATTAGGACACAGAGATAGGGAAATTTGGCCACACAGGGTTGTTTTTTTAGCTGTTATTGTTGTTTTATTTATTTATTTGTTGGTTGGTTGGTTGTTTTGATACTGAGGATTCAACTCTGGGATACTATCACTGAGCTATATACCCAGACCTTTTTATTTTAGAATTGGGTTTCATCAAGTTTCTCAGGCTGATCTTGAACGTGTTATCCTTCTGCCTCAGCCTCCTGAGTGACTGGGAGTACAGGCATGCACCACGTCCAGTGATGGGTCATTTTAATGAGAACCCAGGGTAGCACTTGGGAAGACCAACTGTAGATGTAATGAGGTTGACTGGCCCTAAGAAAAATTTAAGTTTGCTGTGTTTGATTCATGTCATCTAAAATAACTAAACACTCAGCTTATCTCTGGTGATAAGAGTTAGTGTAAAGCCACAGGGAAGGAAGGAAGGAGGGCAGTCATTCTCCTCTGTGGTGCCAGAAAGCATCATGGAGAATTGGAACTTTGTGACACTCTGATGTATCATCTCTCCACAGAGCTCCCTCTGTCTCTCTCCTGACTCTGTTCCCAGCTCCACTTTTACTCTGAAGTTACCAAATGCTCTGCAGCATATTCCTTTATTCCTCAGACTCTCTTTCTGAATCATGCCTTTCTTTGGCATTCTTTCATCTATCCTTCTCTGTGTCTCAGAATTAACTAATAAAATTAGACCCTGTCTTATAGAAAGTTTAGTCGTAGTACAGTATTGACCATCCCTATGGAGTAGTCTTCTCCTGCCAAGCCCCTCAGAGATGCCTGTGCATCCCCTGTGGGTGATTGCTAATGACTGAATTTTAGCCTCTAGAATAAACTTTGGTGGTCAGCCTGGCAAAGTCAAAGGGCCCGAAGTAAAGCAGTATGTGTCAGGAATCACTTTGAATTATTTGGCCTGGGAGACACTATTGTGTTCACACTGCTTGGAGATTGTGTCAAAGATACTGTGACACTCTGGGTACCCATTGGCCTACTGATCTCTCAGGGCAGTTTCTATTGAGGAAGGAGATTTTATTATGAATAACTTTATAACAACACTAAGCCTTATCTACCTTATAGATAAATCATCTATCAAGATAGTTTAGACCATGTCACACTTGTTTACTAAGTTCTTAAACTTTAAGACTCTCTTCGCTATCATGGCTGAATTATTATAAACATATTAAGCTTAAAGGTAAGACATATTTTTTCTGAAAGAGTGGCATCCAGTACCTAATCTGGACAGTCAAAGGGAAGAGAAGAGGTTGAGTGCTTCAGAGTGTGTTGTCTCTCACATTGTGTTTGAGCCTTGCCCTTAAGGAATAAACTGTCATTACCCTAAAAAAGAAGGTGCTGAAACACAGCAGGCAAATAAAAGAATAACATTCTTAGAGACCCGGTTATAGAAACTAAAAATGTAAAAACATTTCTTCTCATGACCATAATGTCAGACTGTAGCATGGGTGAGGAGGAGGATGGTTTTTCCAGCTCAGCACAATGAGAATTAATACTCAATTAGAGAATATCACTATTGACTGTACATAGCATTCAGAGGGTGGCAGAGGATAAGACTTCCCATGAGCAGAAGAAGAAAGCCACATGGAAGTATGAGGGATAATTCTGCCCCATTTTTCTGCCACTTGAACCATAAAGAAGAATTTAGGGGCCAGGGTTCCAGTGATTGACCTGGATATGATGAGATTTGGCTATTGGTTATCTATTGCTATATAATATTTTTTCTCCAAAACTTTGTGGCATAACATAGCAAATATTTATTATCTCATAGTTTCTCTAAAATATAAATTTCAGTGGTTATGGTGCAGCATCTCTCATGAGATTTCAATAAGGTCAGTTGAGGGCTCAGCAGGTGGACAGTGTTAATCCTGCCTATCCAAGAACATGGGGAGGGGAGGGGATTTCCATCTTTAAGATCTTCTTCAATTGCTTTTTTAATTGTAGAGATCTTTCACTTCCTTGTGTAGATTTATTCCCAAGTATTTTAATTTATTTTTTGAGGTTATTTTGAATGAGATAGTTTTCCTAATTTCTTTCTCAGCAAACCCTTATTGGACTATAGGAAATCTATTGATTTACGAATGTTGATCTTGCATACTGCTACTTCAGTGAATTTGCTTATCAGTTCTATAAGACTTCTGGTAGCGTTTTTTAGGTCTTCTGATCCTCCCCCCAAGGACAACTGCTATATTTGATGACAAATATGTCACCTGAGGATCACAAGGCCAGACCCAATGTGACTACTCATGTCCCACATGTTAGAAAGGTCTTCCTCCAGTTGAGATTAAATTTAATCTTTTTGAGAAATAGAAAGCTGCTCTACTCCAGCTTCTTCAATATAGAGGATGTGAAGCAAAGCAAAGCATAGTGTACAGAGTCATGGAAACGGGCACCTCAGGATTCTCATGAGGACACACATCATGGAACAGTTTTATGATCAACGTCATGGTGCTATCAAACTCTTGACAACTTACATAACTTCATTGCTGCCCTGTTTCTGGCCTGGCCACATTTCCTTCTGTAAAGCCCAATTCTGCTTTCTATGTAAACACAACCTGCAGTCATTCTTACATCAGTTCCAATTCATTCTTATTTACTCTTTATAGTAATTTTAGATATTTTTTACTCTGCAGGATTTTCAAACTTTAGAAATACCGTTAAGAGAATTCCATATAGGAATTCTTTCCTAATTGATGTAATCAATCTTGTTGAACTAATCTTGTTGAGCAAACAGCTTTTAAAGATTTTTAACACATCATTAATGAGGGAGACAGGTCTATATTATAATAGTTGAAAGATTCATCTATACATGTGAAATATTGAAGTGTATTTGCAAATGAATGCCAAAATTTCTTCCTAGTGGGGGAGGGAAGACCACTGAAACTGCCTGGACAAACTTTATTTCCTGTCTCTCCATGAGAGTTATTTGGAATGTCTAGGAGGAGTCACAGACTTTTCACATTTTGCCACATGTACTTTATCTTGCCTCTTTCCCTAATTCAACCTTTCTGAACAGTTTGAGAAGAGTATTTGTGTCTCACACCCCTGGACACTTAATGCCATTACTCTGCTATGAATTGTCCAGGATAGCACATTCTCTCTCATGACCCTGAAAAATTCCTACATTCAGGAAACTAACATTGACACAATACTTTCCTCTAGTCTATAGCCCAATTTGTTAGTTGTCCTGTTGTCATCCTCCATGCTTGATTTAAGTCCAGGCTCCCACAGTTCATACACTTATCACATCTCTTTAGTCTCCTTTATAGTTTTAGAAAATTTTGAAGTTTGCCTACTTCTGAAACTTAGAGACAAAGACTGTGGCATTTCTGTGTATGTGTGTGTGTGTGTGTGTGTGTGAGTGTGTGTGTGTGTGTGTGCACGCACACATAAGCACTGCTTCATTGGTGATTATGTCTTCAGCTATTATGTCAAAAGCCAACATTTGCAAAGCACATTTTATCTCAAAAGTAACATTGCAAAAAAATAGAAAGCAGAAATCAAATCCCAAATATGTAGCACCAGGCCTACAATATAGAAATAGCTGTCGATGTGTCTTCCATGCTTACCAAATTGAGTCAGTCTAAGAACTTGGGAGGCAGGAGGTGACTAGAACTTGACAGCCTTCGAAGGAGGGGTCGTATCCATGGGCTCTTCACTGGCAGCCTGGGAGGTTGGTGGTGCAGAGGCCCTCTGTGCCAGGGTGGAGGATGGTGAGTGGACCTTCACTGGCAGCATGGTAACCACGGGGGCATTGGGAAGAGAGGCTCTTTTCCTTTTTCTGGCTTTTCCAGGGTTCCCAAGTGCAGGCTGAGGGGTGGGTGGTGGGACAATGGGATGGGACAGATTGGGGTTGGGTTGGGAGAACTGAAGGGTTGGGGGGCCGGGGAAGACTGGTCCCTTTGCTGGCTTCCTGTGCTGCCTATGGCGATGGACACTGCGGTGTGGGCCAGAGCTGTCACTGGACGCAGAAGATGGGAAAATGACGGCCATGGAAGGGGGGGTAGTGTCCATGGCCGTGTCCTCAGGCAGCACAGCAGGATGCTTGGAATGGTGAGCCAATGGCATGGCTATGAGGGTTGGAGGGACGGAGTGCTGGCCCTGGGTATTGGGGTTGCGGGTGGAAGGGACAGGAGTGGGTCGTGGGAAAGAATGAGGAGGAGGAGGAAGAGGAGCAGCAGGAGGAGCAGCCAAAGGAGAGGGAACATTAGGAGGAGGAAGAGGAGGAGGAGCAGGAAAAGGAGTTGGAGGAGGAGGGATAGGAGGAGGAGGAAGAGGAAATGGAGAAGGGGGAGGAGGAAAAGGAGGAGGAAGAGGAGGAGGGGGAGGAGGAGGAAAAGAAGGAAGGGGAGGAGGAGGGGGAGGAGGAGGAAAAAGTGAAGGAAGAGGAGGAGGAAAAGAAGAAGGAAGGGGAGGAGGTGGTGGAGGAGGAGGAGGATCAATACACATGGGGGTTGGGGATTCTGTTCTGGAAGAGGTAGGATTGGAGGGGAAAGGGACCTGGGTATGAGGTGTGGGGAGGTGGGAACTGGGAGGTATCACAGGTCTTGACAGTTGTGTTGTTGGGTGAAACACATTAGGGGTAACTCCGACATGGGGACTGGGGCTGAATGGAGAAGGAGGTTTCCTGGGAAGAGGCAGAGGAATATTAGATGAGGGGGAAGGTGGAGGGATGGATTGGTTCAGGGGCCCAGCAGGTTGGAATTCCACCTGCCTGCTGGCAAGGTTGGTTGGGATGGGGGAGGGGTCAGTGGGTGGGGGGAGGGGGCCTGCATTCCAGGTAGGGCCTGCAGGTGGGGAGGATGAATGGACAGTGGTGGTGCAGTCCTCCAGAGCCTCTCTTCCGCCCTGGGCGACCTCTGCCTCAGGCTCCACGTTGTTACTTCTGTCACTCTGAACCCTCCTCAGGGTGCCATTTGTACATAAACGTGGCCGCTTTGCAGGTGGGGGCAGCCCATCCTGATGCCAGGAAATCAGTGATGGCAGGGCCACTGGCATGAGCTGTTTCCTTTTATGCGGCCTCTTGGAAGCAGCAGTTAGTGAGGGCCAACTCTGGGCTAGAACACAGGTCGGCTTTAGGCCCTGCTCTCCCTGGATGGCATCTTGGGAGGCTGGAGAGACAGGCAGATCTACAGGCTCCTGGGTCCACTTGTGGAGCATTGAGGGGCCCTCAGCTTTAAGGAGGGCGAGCACTCCTTGAGCAGGGCAGTGGGAGCTGCAGGTTGTGGGGCTCCCAGATGATAAGTTCTTGGGAGACACCTGGGCCCTCTCTGGAAGGATGTTTCCCTCTGGGGGCCAAGAACTGGGCTCCAGGGCACTGAGGTCTCCCCGAGTGTCCTCCTCCTCCTCCTTCTCCACCTTCTCCTCCTCCTCCTCCTCCAGCTCCTCCTCCTCCTCGTCCTTCTTCTCCTCTTCCTCCTCGTCCTTCTCCTCCTCCAGCTTCTCTTCTTTCTTCTCCTTCAGCTTCTCCTCCTCCTCCTTCTCCTCCTCCTCCTCCTCCTCCAGCTCCTCCTCCTCCTCGTCCTTCTTCTCCTCTTCCTCCTCGTCCTTCTCCTCCTCCAGCTTCTCTTCTTTCTTCTCCTTCAGCTTCTCCTCCTCCCCCTCCTCCTCCTTCTCCTCCTCCTCCTCGTCCTGATGGATCTTGCCTTCGTCTTGCTGTTCCTGGGCCCTGAGCTCAGCTTCCTTAGAGGCACCAATAGGGCAGCAAGAAGGTGTCATGGGCCCCTCAGCGTGGTGGATGAGCTGAGGAACTGAAGGCAGGAGGAGAGGCCTGCGCGCAGGAGGGGGGATCCTTACTGCTCTCGAGGGTCCGAACATCTGAGAGTTCTTCCGGGATAGCACTGGCTTTTTGGGGAGCGGCCCCCAGGACACGGGCAGCAGGGTCCCCCGAGAGAGGAGCGGGCCTCTGTCCCTGCCAGCAGCAGGAGGCCCCCGAGGTCTGTGATCCTGGGGGAAACGCCTGCTGGCAGGGCTGAGGGGAGAGGCAGGTGCAGCGGGGTGGTCCCTGTGAGGAGAGGGAGCCTCCCGGGTGAGGCGGAGGGGAGTGCGATGGCCCAAGAGGGCCCTGCGGCGCAGCCTGCGAACGCACTTGGTCAAAAGACTGCCCATGGAGGGCACCTGGGGCTCGTCACTAGGCAGAAGTCCACACTAGTCCAACGCTAGTCAGCACAGAGCAGCTTGGCTGAGAAGCCAGCTCCTCCTTCAACCACAGGCTGAACTCCAGTTTAGCCTTTGTGACATGTGGCTGGAGCCTGTGACAGAGAAAGGACTTGGGCCAAGATGATTGGTCAAAGGAAGGTTCCAGGGTGAAGAGACCCCTCCCCCCACTTGGTCTGAGCTTAGGTGCCTCCTGACTCTCCCCTGCTTCTTCTCCCACACCCACCGCACAGTTATTCTCACCCTCCAGAGGGTCATTCTGAGGCTGCTTTCCTTTGGGTTACTTAGGCAGTCATTCTACTTGGCTCCGAAAATAAATATCTCCACGATTCTACTGGACGTGACTGTAGCCATCCAGAGTCAAACCACCATCCGTTGCCCTCAGATAACTACAGCTATAGTTCCCACCATACTATCAATTTAGAAAACCATTACAGTTGTCCCTGGAACTGTCCCACAGGATCCTTGATCCAGTAATGGTGCCTGACTGTGATGTTACTTCAGGTAAAATATGTAGTTTGTTTGGGAAGAGTTCCCTCTCATCCTGACCAAAGCACATACACATCCTTCTCTCTACACCATATTGAAGGTGTGCAGTGTTCTTCCTGTGGCCTAGCGTTGCATTTTCCAGAGAGCTCAGTCCATGTTTGGCTGACTACATTGCTCTGGGGCTAAGATGATGCAGAACATTTCATGTCTCAGAGGTGTCAGTCCATGGACAGCCAGCTCCATTGCCCTGGGCCAGAGGTGGAGCAGAACATTAGGGCACAAGGACATTTTGAAGGGCAGCTGCTCACCTCATGGCAGCCACAACGTAGATAGTAAGAAGGAGCAAATGGCAAGATTCATCTCCAAGGGTTTGCTACTAGTGACCTAGTTCGCTACCAGTGGAGCCAGCTTTACTGCAACTTCTCTGGCCAAACTCTGCTACCTGCTGCTCATTTTCACAGTCATCTGGATAAATGCTGCTAGCAATATCCATACCACTGGATGAAATTGAAATTTTTGTGCTGCATTGAAATTTTTCCACTAGAATAATTAAGACATCATCTCTAACTAAATTTAGCCACATAGATAGTGTCAAGACATGTGTAAAATGTTAAATGGAAAATGACAATGAATTTGCTAGAAAGTAACATGAATGCCCTCCAGTCCCTCTTCCAATAGAATAAGCTTTCTCCTCAGCAAAGTCATGAGCACCGTCTTTAATACTGACAGTCCTTTAGCCTCCTGGCCTTCTGAGCTTCCACCAAAATCACTCCCAAAGCTCTGCTTACCATAGTGAAAGCTTTTCCAGATGGCATCTCTAAAGTTTTGAAAATTCCACCCCAAATTCCGAAAGGATCTAGACAGTACTGAACCAGATGGTTAGATTAGTCACAGTGAAGAACTCATCTCTTGGTAACCACTTCTATTCTAGTCAGCTTTTTTTTGCCACTATGATCAAAAGACCTGACAAGAAGAACTAGAGGAGGCAATGTTTAATTGGCTCACGGTTTCACAAGCAGTCCAGAGTCAGCTGCCTCCAGAACTCTGGACATCAGGAAGCAAATAATCATGGCAAAAGAGTGTGGTGGAAGTAAGAAGCTCAGGATATTGCCACAAGGTGGAGAAGTGCTAGTGGGCTCCCTGGGCACAATATATACATCCCACATACAAGCGCTCATTGACCTACTTCTTTTTGCCAACCCCTACCTGCGGACAATCATTGTCCAGTTAACCTGTATCAGTGGATTAAGGGAATGATTGGCTAAGGTTCTCATAGCCTAATCATTTCACCTCTAATATTTCTTGAATTGTCTCACCCATGAGCTTCTGGGGATACCTCATATCTAAATTGTAACACATGCTGTTGTTCTGGTTCAAGCAGGAATATGTCCTGGGATGAGAAGACTCCATTAAACCCGGGTTGACCACAATGAGAATGGATCTGTAGGAGTCCTGGTGAATGGAAAGCGATTAGGTAAACTGTGTTTGTTTTTTTAAACTTATTTATTCTAATTAGTTTTATATGACAGTAGATGGTATTTTGATACATCATACATAAATGGAGTATAACTTCTCATTCTTCCAGCTGTATGTGTTGTAGAATTACACTGATCATGTAATCATATATGCACATAAGCTCATAATGTCTGATTCATTCTACTATCCCTCCTACTCCCATGCCACCTCCCCTCCCTTTACCTCTCTTTGCCTAATCCAAAGCCCTTCTATTCTTCCTTAGGCACCCTCCCCCGTTTTTGTGAATTAGCATCCACAAATCAGAGAAAACATTCAGCCTTTGGTTCTTTGGGGTTAGCTTCTTTCGCCAATGTCATAACTTTGTTCTTTTTTATGACTGAGTAATAGTCCATTGTGTGTATATACCACATTTTCTTTTCCATTTCATCTGCTAAAGGGCACCTAGGTTTCTTGCATAGTTTAGCTATTGTGAGTTGAGCTGCTATAAACATTAATGTGGCTGTGTCACATTAAGTCATTCGGGCATAACTCAAGGAGTGGGATAGGTGTGTTTCATTTTGCAATTGATGGTTTTGTGTTTGCTTTTCTCTCCTGGTCACTCCATATCCAAACATAAAGCGAGTCCAACATCCTTGGGTTTTCTAATTAAGAAACACCGGAAAAGGCACAATTCTGACTTTGACACTCACATTGGCTGCTTCCACTGTGGACCAGTGTAGGGACATGCTCTTCTAGGTGCCCCATGGTGCATGGTAGTCTGCTGTCCCTGCTGCCTATTGCATCACTGTGACCACACCCAGCTGTGACCTCTGCTGGACCCTGCACTGCAAAGACCCATGTTGCTTCCACCTAGGGATCAGGAAATGGAGAAGGCAGGCCAAGGATCAGAGGTGGGGTCACAGCACCTGCACCAGAGGGCACAAACCCCATTCCCTCTGGAAAGGCGGGAAAGAAAGGGACAGGTGTCTGTTTGTCACTGCCACAACGTGCTCCCCATCTTCTCCTGTCCGGTACAGTGGTCCACATGCTGGACTTACAGTTGCCAACACCCTGTCACACAGCCAGGTAGCCAGCTGCTGTCATCCTGTGGAACCTTGACATGGCTTAGATGTGGCAGCTGCCACCACCCCTGTGTCCTTGCTGGGACACTTGTCCACACCTTTGGGACTATTGGAAATAAGATTATCTGTGGAAACCATGTCCCACCCCACCACCCAATGCTGCTTCTATCACCCCCTGATCCGGTCCCTGCAGGTGTCTTGGTTGCCCAGAAGACTCTGCTTGACCACTGCAACAGTCCCTGGCACCAAGGAGGTTTTCTAGGACACAATTACTCCGTATGTCCCCACCCACAGTGGAAGTACTTCTGATGCCCCCACTCTTTATTGAGGAACAACTCTCCCATACGTGACAGCTCAGAGAGACGAGCCCAGTAAGCTTGTGCAGACTGGCATGGCAGTGCAAAATGGGGTCCAGCAGGCAGGCAACTGACTATGTGCACAGACCCACCCTCCTGTCATGGACAACACAATTCCTCGTACGCTCATTGGGCCATTCTGACACCGCTGTTCCATGGACTGCCCACCTTGTGATCCAGAATAGGCCCCAGTAAAGCCTCTGCAGATGAATTTTAAATTTTTTATGTTCTTTTTAGTTATACATGCCAGTGGAATGCATTTTGACACATTATAGGTACATGGAGTATAACTCCCCATATTTTGGCTGTACATGATGAGGATTTACACTGGCCATGAATCCATATGTGAACAGAGGAAAGTTACATCTGGTTCATTCTACTGTCTTTCCTTTTCTCATCCCTTTTCCCTTCCCTTCATTCCCCTTTGTCTTATCCAATGAATGTCAATTCTTCCCTCCCCACCCCTTTATTGTGCATTGGCATCCACATATCAGAGAACAGTCAATCCTTGTTTTTTGGGATTGGCTTATTTCATTTAGCATGATAGTCTCCAGTTCCATCTGCTTACCAGCAAATGTCATAATTTCATTCTTTATGGCTGAGTAATATTCCTGTGTGTGTGTATGGTTGTGTGTATGTATGTGTATGTGTGTGTATTTTTTCCATTCATCTGTTGAATGCCATCTAGGTTGGTTCCAGAGCTTAGTTATTGTGAATTAAGGTGCAAAAAATATTGATGTGGGTGCATCCCTATGGTATGCCAATTTTAAGTACTTTGGGTGTATGCCAAAGAGTGGGATAACTAGTTCAAATGTTTGTTTCATTGCAAGTTTTCTGGCAGATTTCTATACTGCTTTCCAGAGCTTGGGAGGTTGAAGCAGGAGAATTGCAAGTTCAAATCCAGTCTCAGCAATTTAGCAAGACCCTAAACAACTTTGCAAGACCCTTGTCTCAAAATTTGAAAACAAACAAACAAACAAAAAGGGCTGGGATATGGCTCAGTGTTAACCCCCCATGGGTTCAATTCCTGGTACTAAAACAAATAAAAATAATGTTTCATAAATCACTTCTGAAAAAAATCTCCTTAATTTTCTTAACTGGTGTTTTAAGATTATGTCCACATACAAAAACACGTCAACCATTTGACACCGGAACAACATACTGCCTTCAAGATGCAGGAAATCTTGTTATTTGAAACCCTAATGAGCTTTAGGAGACATTATTGTATTTGAAAACAGCAAATGTAGAAGGTGGTGCTCTATGACCTCAATGAAGTGTGGAATCAAAACCAGTTGCTCTGTAAAAGCAGAGAGCAGGATGGTGGTTCCCAGGAGCTCGGGGTTTACCAGTCTACTAATAACATGGATGTAGATTACAGACATAGCAAGTGCAAATGACCTGAGCCTTTAGATTGATGAACACTAGTGGTTGAAATAAGGGCAGTCCTGAGGGGGTATAAGGTATAAGGGTGGTGATATAAGCAAAGACCAGATGATACAGGGCCTTGTAGACTACTCTGAGGATGTGCTCCAGGAAAAAAAAAAATGTCTATCTGCAAACATTTTGTGCTCATCTATGAGTTTGGAAGAAAATTACCATACATAGTCTTCTGTAGTTTTTTAAGGAAATGCTAAGACCTTAAAAAACTTAAGTGTATTATATTTTTAATAATTTAAGAAACTTAACTTTGTGAGGAAAGAATTATTTTAACTTAGACACAAATGTGTGTAAAATTCACATTGTGAGGTAGAGGGTTGGTTTCTGCAGTAACTGTTAGTTAACTTAGAATTAGATGTTGAGATCTCAAAATATATTTAGAAGTTGGTAGAAATGAAAATATGGCGAAGGGAGAAAATATGTATATAATTGCTATAAGTTAGAGAATGCATTTGCCAATTTTTATAAAAAATAATTAAAAAATTTAGACACCATGTTCCCATTTGCATAATGAACTTTGACTAACCCCAGATCTCTGTCTGCTTTTTAAGGGGAAAGTACTTTGTCATCTTTAACTATCTGGACCCTTAACTATCTGGTTCCTTAATCTCTAAGACATTAGGCTATTTAAGATCCATCAGTGTATTAAATGTTTAAATTTTCAGATTTATTTTTAGAATTTGGTCCCTCAAACTAAATGTAATTTAATTTGTAGTGAAATCCTCACAACCTATGGGAGGAAGAATGTTCCCTTTAATCCCTCATGTGAATTACATGGATTTGAGTTTATACAATATGTAATGTTACGTTCTCTTTCATAACTTAATTATTTTATCAAAACCTAAGGTGAAATTGGCAGGTGTCCTTAGTTTAGCATCCAGCCAAAGATGAATCCAAGAGCAATTTGCTGAAAAGAAATAGAGAAACTTTCTCTTCTGCCAAACTTTCTCATTCCTGCTGCTCTTGAAAACTGTCTGTACAGGGGAAAAAATCTATAAACACAGATATAAAAAGCAACAGTTGCCTCTGTTCAACTTCCCATCACATGTGACCTGATTTTCTAGTTCTCTGTGATGCCCAGACCCTTGCTTCCCAGCAAGAGCCAAAGCAAACTGCTTTCAAGAGTCTCCATCTCTGTTTGCAAACCATACCCAGTTTACCTATTAGACAGGCATCTGGCATGGGGACCACAGCACAGCTTCCTCCTGTACCCAAAGTCTGAGACAGGGGCTGAGCTGTATTCTGTCTGGACTCATCTGTAGATGCAGAGGTCAGTGTTTGATGAGATAAATTGACTTGTTTTTGATCCTAGGACAAAACAAAACATTTTGGGGACCATAAATGGCCTGAGGCTGATTTGTTTTCTGGAGAAGGGCAAAGAGTATAATATACTATAGACTGCCCTTGGAAAAAATGTTGCAAGGGGAAAGAGTAACTCTGAAGAAGGGCTAGAGACCAGGGAGAGACTGACTACGTAATTAATAACCCAAAGCTACAGTCTGTTGCCAAATTTTTCTAGTGATTTCCCCTAATCCTTCAAATTCTTCCTAAAGTCTTTTGAAAGATATTTTTGCAAGATACAACATTAACTTCCATTCTATTTTGCTATCATTTGTATTTTTTTCTTTGCTATGTTCATGAACTAGAGCTATTTCCTGACCTTTTGGACAAGGCCATTATTTTCAGAGTCAAATTAAAAATTTTGGTTAAGGATGCTTATGTATTCTGGAAAAGAAAATTCTGAAGATATCATTTGTGTTCTTAGGCAAATTATGACACCTAGGATTGTTTAACCTTAAAAAATTCTTTTATAATTAAAGCATTAATAGAAATATTACTTATATCAGTTTATTGTTGCATAACCAATGATTCCAAAACTTAAAATGGATATTAAAACAATATTCATTAACTTAGTTTATATTTCTGTGGGATGGAAATTTAGGGTGTTTTCATCTTACAGTTCTGGGTCTTGGCTGGGCCCTCTGTGCTGTCACGTGCATGTCAGTTCAGCATGTCTGCTTCTAGGAGCTCTCTGATTGTCAGAATGACTGTGAGACTAGGCTGCATTTCTCCCACCTTCTAGTTGGTTTGTCCAGATATGTTTATATGTGGTCACAAGAGTGGCTTGACTTAGAACTGGTAGA